TAATTTTTATGAACCGCCAAGGCAGAGACTCGGCCCACAGTCCACAGCCTCCGCGCAGAGTCTCCGGGCCTGACCCTAATGAACCGACATGGGGCGACTGCCACATCGACTCCAGTCGATCGGTGCGGCGCTCGCCCATCCGCGGGACGCCCCAGCCGCAGCCGCAGCCGCAGCCGCAATATATGTTGCAATACAAACTCTTGAAAAGTTTATTGACTGGAAATAATTTATTAATTATTTTGTGCCTTTTAATGGCATTTGCCTATGCCTGCGCCTGATCTGAGTTTCATACACATATATTTTTTGTTGGAAATATTATTGTCTAATTAATATTTTCCTCGAGCTTCAAAGATTAGCTTTTTATGGCTTAGCTGGGTGGCATTTTCAAATGGATTGTTCGACTCGAGCGATCGTTTTGTAATCGTACTATAAAGCGGAGTCAAAAAGCTGATAATCAGGAAATCAATATATTTTATTTTTTGAAAATAATGCAAATGATGCGAAGTGTCAAGTGACAAGCCAGAAGGCGTCTATTAATGGCGCCCGGTGGGTGGGAGCGGTCTGTACTGGAATGTTTTTGAATATCTGTTCCTTTTAATATTTCTGAAGCCATTAGTGGAGTCTCTGCTTCGGCCTTCCACCCACGCAATCAAGCTGAAACGAAAACATTGCATGCTCCGCACGCTCCCCTCAACAACAACGAAAATAGCGAAAATTTTCTTCCCAAACATGTGGCCGGCTATAAATCTCTGCCTTTGTCTTACCCAATTCCCAATTCCAGCCGGAGCCGCGCTACATAGATTTGCACTCGAAAAGTCGAGAAGTCGAAAAGTCTGCGGAGCATGCGCGACGAAGAACATTTGTAGGAGCAATTAAAATCACACCACGACCAAAATGGAGAAGCAGACGACGACGGCGACGACGACGACGACATGGACGTTGGCGATAGAGAAAACATGGCAACAGGCCAGTAGAAGATATAGATACACAGGAGGCGAAAGTCTGGGCCATAAATTAGAAAATCAAAATGCCAGGTTGCCTTGTCCTTGTTCCTGTCCCCCGCATTGCCGGAAAACTCTTTTCGATAATGACCCGGCTACAGTTTCAGAGCCAATGTATTGCATGACTGGATCTGTAGAGGGTACTAGTATCCCCAATTCCTCATATGTATGTACATATATTCCTCATTAGCAGAAACACATGAATCCGCCTGAATGACTTTGCATACCCTTCGTTTTGCTGCAGTTTGCCAAGAACATCTGAAAGGCTGCTTGCCTCAAGATATTCTCTTCTTTTGGCTGGCAATGAATTTAGTTGTTGCCTGGCCTGGCTTCGAATGGGCTTCGAATTGTTAACAAATTGTCATTTGACAATTACACTTTGTTGGCCACATTCATTAGTGTCAATGTTTCGGTTTGCATGCTTCCGCTACCGTTAGCCAGACGATTTATGTCACATTTGTTTGGAAATTATATGAGATTTATTGCCCCGAGGATCCTCTTGCCCCATTTCGAGTGATGCGTTGACAGATCCAACTGCAACGAGAGTGGAGCGCCACAAGCCACAAGCCACAAGCAGTAGTTGGTGCTCCATTTTGTCCATTTAGACGCTTCTTGATTACCTTGGAGTCCGGAGTCCGTCTTGGCCTGTCTTGTCTATAAAGCAGCTTTTTCTCTGCCAGTTTTTCAGCCTCATCATGAAAAAGATACTGCGCCAGTTGTCTTTTTTTTTTTTTTTTTTGTGACTTTGCTACGAGTATAATTTTGTTGTAATTGTCTGGCCTAGTTGAGAAGCCAGGCATTTCAAATTGTTTGCAGATGTTGGAAGAGTTTTATTTTGGTTTGCAAATTTCCTGGAAATGTTTCGGCTGAAAACTCTTCCCTTAATCTGCTAATCTCCCCAAAATAGCCTTCAGATCTCTTTATGGCACCGACAATGCCACCGCAAAATTTACTCTCAAATTGAACGAGTATAACTTCATTTGGCTGCGATTGTTTCAGCCAAGACCCCGCTGGAGCCACCTTCAGGGGAGCAGTGAAACCACAACAAACGCAACCGCATCCACATGGGGGATGGGGATGGGGATCCACATCCACATCAACATCCACAAAATGCAATTAATTGTCAAGTTATTTAACACAAATATTTGAAATTGTTTCGCTAATCAGCTTGCCGCTACGGAAAGGGGGCAAAGTCAAAGTGGAAACCGAAGTGGATTTTTGTTTGCCATTTTTTTCTCTGTATGTGTTTTTTTTTGTTTTTGGTTTTTGGTGGGTCTGTTTAGGAGTCTGGGGCCCGAGAGCATTCCGATGTCCATAAAAATGTCAACGCAGCCAACAACAACGGCCACATGAAAATATGCCGCTTGGCTCGAATTGCCAAAGTGGCTAGGCCCGGCTGGGCTTGGTCTTAAAACTGGACACCGCACTATCGGCCATCGTGGCTCCATGCAGTCTGAGCCAGACTCTCAGTCGGACTCTGAGTTTGTGTGTTGTGGTGTGGAGTCTGTGGCCGACTCGAGAAACACAGAAGTGTGTCTGTTTTCGATGTGGCTCGGTGAGCGGCAAATGGAACTGATTACAAAATATGACCAGCGGCTAAATGTATCTCGTAGCCTGCTGCTTAATTTCTCAGATAGCTGCACAATTTTATGCGTGGGCTATAAATTTGCACCAGGCTTAGGCCCCAGACGCACGTGCTACTGTTGGTAATGGTAATAGTTGCTGTTCCCCTAGAGCTTTTGTTCCTCGCTAATGACCAAGTGCCTATCTGTCGGTCTGTCTGTCGATCTGTCTGTCTATAGGTAGGCTATAGTGTCAGAGTTGGAGGAGCGGAGAGGAGTGCTTGTAAGGCAGCGACAAGAGAATTATTTTTATTTTTCTTCCCCCAAAAGTGTACTTTCTAATTATAAGAAAAAAGCTTTCCCACTTGCAGCTGGGTTTGCCAGCGTAGGTGCTTTTGGCTATTGACTGTTTTCCCTGGCCTTCACTGCCAGGGTCTCCAAGTTCTTGTCTTTCCTTTTGGCAGATTTTCTGATGCATCGATAAGAGACATCGACATCGCTTCGACAGAGGGAAAGACTCGAAACTGGCTTTGACTACCATTTGCCATTTTCCTGGTGGTTTCTCACTGACTTAGTATCTATTCGCACAGAAGTCCAAGATTTATGACCCCCGTCAGTGCCGGAACCATTTGAGTGGAGCTGCCAGTGGCTGTCAAACTGTGCCACGAAAATCCACATCTCTGAAATATATGTTTCCACTACGTATTACGAGAGGTTTTTCCACGTAAGAGTCTTGATGTTTTGACCCAAAACGTTCGTCCATCGTCCATCGGTAGACAAACAGCAACGACAGACAGCCTGCAACATGTTGCAAAATACGGCAACAACAATCTTTGGTGGTCGGTCTCCTCCCAGGTTTTTGGCGTGTCTTTCGACACTTTTTGACCTGTTCCAGGGAAGTCTCGTTATTCATTTGGTTCGATCGGGTGGGGCGTGAGGCGTGAGGCGTGGGGTGGGGCGTGGAAGGTGGGGTGGTGCTGGGTGGAGAGTGCTTGGAGATGGCTGCTGTGGGGCTGTGGCCAGGCCATTTGCATAACTTTTTGACATTTATGCTCTGTCATAACTTAGATTTCTTGGCCATTGGCTATAAATCAATTCGTTGTTGTCGCTCGAGAGCACATTCTATAGATTGTGTGTTTTGACTGGAGTTATGGTTATGGAGGCTTTAAGCATAACTAATTTTCAAAATCCTAAAAGTAGACTTTATGGCAGCCTCACACCGAGAGATGTGTATCTCTTCCTGGAGTTTCCAACTTCCTTTGAAAATCAATTATGTTCAAAACACCCTCCCCCACCACACACACAAAAGTCAAGTAGCCCGAACTCAACCAAAGTCTTAGATGGTAGCCCATAAAATACGCAGAGTGGCTGCCGACAAATGGAAATGGTCGTACAGCAAAAGGCCGAGGCTACAAGATACGAGTATTCGCATAGCCAAAGGGTAGGGAGAGGAGCGGAAGAGGGAAGGAGGAAACCTGAAGCATAAAGATATGACAGACAAACAATTAGAAAACAGAAAAGCCAGGTGTAAAAACCACAGAAGCACTCGCCTGCAAGCATAAAATTGAATAATAAGAAAATGTTATGCAATCCGAGTTCTTGTTCAAGTACAACTCAATGAAAACACGAAGCCATCTTCATGGCGTTACTTCAGGCTGGCTGCCGCTTTTGGTTCACAAAACACCAAAGCAGCAAAGCAGCAAAGCACCAAAGCACCAAATGGTTATTCGAGAAGAGCCGTCTTCCATGGCGGCGGCGGCGGAGACGGCTTTCTGCCCATTGTCCGTTCTTTAAATGGTGTTAAAAATGATGAAAAAGCCGACTTCAAGGAGAACCAGCTACCATAGAGTATCCCATTACAATGGGCCTGTAATGGGCCTGTAATGCATTTTGAATGATAGATGAGTGGAATTTGAAGCAATGAAGACTTGAGGTAAAATGGTAATTCTGTTGCCTAATGCTTGGATTATGTAAAACTGAGATATTTCGAGATGATACCGTGATTTTAGGCAGTTGAGAAATGTTTTTCAATAGTAATTAAAGCATAAATTACATTCACGATCCCATGCTCCACTTAATTCTGCCGAAAAAAGTTCAAGAACAACGCAACCGATCCTCGAAATCTGTGTGTTCCACTTTGTGCCGTAGAAGCAGATGCATCGATGATCCCACCGAGAACTTGACTGATTTGTGCATTAGGCTCTTTAAATTGGGGCCAATAAAGAGCACCATATCACCATCTCGTTTCCATCTGCCTTCGAATGTAGAGCACAAATTCAATTATGTTTTCCAAGTTATTGATGGACCCGACCCGCACATCTGTTCTTCATTGGTGCACCCGATTTATCAGAAGGAGAGCGTGCTCATTCTGAGGCATTTCTTTGTTCTTAGGCGCTTGGCGCGGTTAAATGAATGGTAGGTAATCTTAGGTACTTACCCTCGCAGGCCACCGTAGAGTCGTCTGCTGGATCGTCGGTCTCTGCGACCAGCTCCCAGTCGGCATCGTCTTGCGCCAGTCGCAGGGCAGCCAGATCCTCCAGCTGCTGGGCATCTACGTTCATGCCAAAGAATCCATCCTGGCACTCGTGGCACTTGACACCAATGACGCCCACCTTGCACTGGCATTGACCCGTCCGTGGGTCGCACGTGTCAGGGACAGCAGTGCCCAGGGGATCGCAGCTGCAGGGCGGACAGCGGAGGTCCACATGGGCAAAGCCCGTATCGCAATCGTCGCACTTCTGTCCGGCGAATCGGGGCTTGCACAGGCACTGGCCATCCGTGCTATCGCACAGACCACTCTCCGATCCTTCGGCATGGCAGAGGCAGGGCTCGCATCCGACGGCAGGATCTCCCCAGTAGCCCAACTTGCAGCGCTCACAGTGCCAGCCCTCAGTGTTGCCCTTGCAGGTAATGCAGGCGCCGGTGGTCACGTTGCACGGTCCGCCGGCGCAGTCGCAGCGCTGGCAGCTGCTGCCTATCTGAAGGGGATCCCCAAAGTACCCGTCGTCGCACACCTGGCAGTGGTCGCCGGTGAACCCTTCTGGGCACTGCGTGCAAATGTATTCGGCGTGCTCGATCAGCTCGAACTGCGGATTCAGATCCATGTAGTTGTAGCTCTTCAGCTGGCAGCTGGGCGAGAAGTTGTTCGAGTCCTCGGGCAACGGACAAGCACAACGTTTGCAGTCGTGAGGCGTTCCCTGGAGGGGGTTCCCGTAAAATCCAAGCTGGCAACGCTCACAGCTGGAAAAGAAAAGTATGCTTAATAATAATATAAAATCATAAAAGAGGATATGTATGTAGACAAATAATATTTTAGATATTAATAACCGTTCAAAATCATTTTAATGCATTTGCGTTGCCACATCATTGAAAGTTGTTAGAACATCGTTGTTTAGTTGGAAGTGTTGCCACATCAATGAAAATCGTATGCAAGAGCTTTAAAGCTCTAAGCTTATACTGCACTTTTCGCGGTGAGTTATCAAGTTCAAGAACCTTACATGGTTCGTGCCTTGGCTAAAGGTGGAAAATCGATTTGAAAACTTACCGTTCGCCAAATGTGTTGTGCATGCAATCGCCGCAGTTTCCGCTCTGCAGGTCGCAGGAGTTCGAGTGGCCGTTGCATGGACAGGGGATGCACTTGCTCATCAGCTGGTGCTCAGTGGAGTTCTCGTAGATACGTTTATAGCCGAAGGCACAGCCCTCGCAGGAGAGTCCCGTGTAGCCGGCAGGACACAGGCACTGCTCTACCTGCGTAGAAGCCTGGGCACCGAGCTCCACGCCGCCGGAGTAGATGACAGCCCGCACAAGCGAGGTCTCCACCTGGTCGGTGTGGAAGGCGGCGCGGATGAGCATGGCGTCAAGGGAAACGAGAACCGAGAGGAACTGGGACCGGGTCACCGCCTCCCCATGATATTCCCCTCCCTCGGTTCGCCTTAATCTGGTCTTGATGTCTTTGATGGCGGGCGGCACATGGTACCAGCCCTCCTCCGTTAGGGTCACATTCAGGCTGGCCTCCAGGCCCACGAAGGAGTCATCGGCATAGCCAATCTTCAGTCCGTTTTTGCCGCACAAGATCACATTGGGACCCGTCGAGGACTTTCCCGAGGTGTCGCCCCGCATCACAACCCACGAGAGCAGTAGCTGGAGTCTGGCCCCGTAGCTGGTCAATCGATTGCCCAAGTATCCCAAGGGTGCCTGCCAGTAGATGGCCTCCAGTTCGTCCGGTTCATTGCCAAAGGTCAGGCCCTTCTCCGCATCGACCGATATTGGAAACCACAGCTTCCTCTGTATGTCCGTGAGCTTCCAATCGTTGAGGGTCTCGAAGGCCAGTGTCTGCAGCTTGGCACTGTGACAGGTATCGGAGACACCGGAGCACCAGCAGCTGGAGCAGCCGAGTGGGTTCCGATCGCTCAAATCAAAGTACCCGGGAGCGCACTCGGAGCAGGTCTCCCCCTCCACATTGAGCTTGCACTGACATTTGCCGGAGCAGGAGCCGTCGGAGGAGAGGGTTCCCCTCTCATCACACTCGCACGGCTTGCACTCCTCTCCGTAGTAGCCGGGAGCGCACTCCTGGCACTGGTTGCCCTGGAAGCCCTCCAGGCAATTGCAGCGGCCGCCCTCGGGATGACAGCTGCCGGTGGAACGGATGGGATCGCAGCTGCACGCCACACATGGTTCCGTGAGGCCAGAGCCCAGTTCCCTGTAGTATCCGCTCTCGCAGAACTCACACTCATTGCCGGCCGTGTGGTTCGCACAGCCCTGGCAGATGCCCTTGTCCAGGAAGGGGTCGTATGAGCAGCTTTCCGCGTGGCCGTGGCACTGGCAGATCTCGCACTCTTCGCTCAGTCGGTAGGGTCGATCCTGGAAAAGGGGGCAGCATTCCTCGCACTGGACTCCACAGGCATTGTGTTGGCAGACGCACTGCACCACCGGGCTACCCGGCGCCTCCTGCGTTCGATCCGAGTGTCCGTGGCAGTCCAGTCGGGCACTCACCCGTAGCTGCTTGAGGGAGTAGAAGCTGCGCTTTTCCAGCGACGGCGAGTCGAGCAGCCAGTCCACGCTGTTGTCCAGATTCGCGGTGGAGTGCATTCCCTGCAGACGAATCCTCATGTAGCGAGCGGTAATGAACTGCATGAGCTCTGGGCTCTGGTCCATGGCCCCCGGACGATTCTTCAGGAGGGACACATGCAGCTCTCCGTTCTCCAGGGGCAGAGGCTTCGAGAACTGCGTGGAACATATGACCTCGGTGTCGTTCTGGAAAACGTATTTGCCGTTCTGTCCGGATAGACTCCAGCGACGCCTGCAGTCCGCATCACTCAGGCCAAAGTACTGCCAGGGCTCATAGTCGACGCCATCCAGGGACTTTTCGAGTATCCACGAGGCTGGTCGGGGCGAATTCGCCGACTTGAGCATCACAAAGAAGACTTGATAGGTCTGAAAACAGAAATGGTAGATGGGAAATGAATATACTACTTTTGTATAAGAGTGTATTAACGCCTGAGGCAATCTTTTTCATTAAATATTTCATTAAATATTAAACTTATTTATTTAAAGTACTCGCTAGCAGGCTCTCACTCCATCAACCAAATAGGTTCCCTACTCTTAAGTATATACTATGGAACAGATATGTGAAATAGAAGCCGAAACTCTGTTAAAGAAAAAGGAAGAACTCGATCCAGAAACACAGGGTCTCCTATCCGTCCAGTCCCTAAAGACTAACGCGGTTTTTGTCCAACAAGAAAGTACACAGTAAACCCAGCCTCTACTTCCACATTCGCTATTTCATTCAGATATTTTTGTGCATTTAAATTAACTAATTTTCCCAGCACTAAGGCCTCACTGGTGGTAGCACGCCTGCTAGTCTTACAGCCACTGAGCAAATGGACTATAAATTATCTACGCACCCAAACGTCACTGTTTCTGTCACTGGCTGATGTTTCTATTCGGCTGCGTTGTGTACAAGTACATATATCTTTGCATCTGCGACTACCAACAAGCTGGCTATACTGTCCATATCTTTGCCAGTGCTGCCAATGCTAGTGCTAGCGAAATCTTTTAGCCCACCATTGGCATCGTCGCGTCATAAATTTTCCAAACTGTCAACCCACCAGCCGCAGCCCCAGAGCGACCCGCCGACCCCCCGAAACCCCTTTCCCCGACCCCCCTGGCTCTTTCAACGTGGCCGGCAGCACCGGCTGACAAACGATATTTGGAAAATTGTTAAACAAAAAGCGAAATGCCAAAAGCGTCGCGTGTGCGAGACGCTGACGCTGAAAATGTTGCGCCTATCGAGGATCAGTGACCAAAAAAAGAGACACACAGGCCCAGGCCCAGGCCGAAACGAGGGGAAAAAATCAATAAAAGGCATGCAATTGAATTTTTCGACGGGCGACTTGTGGCGAAGGTGTGGCAAGGTGTATAATTGATTACGACGCAGTGACTTTGGCCACATGGCGCCATTTAACGAGATATTTCGATCTATCTTTTTTCTATCGGCTTTTCGCTAGTCATCATAAGCCAGGCACCGGCTCCGGCGACGGCAACGGCAACGGCAACAGCATTCCAAATGCATATCTGCGATATCTGAGAGCAGCGGAGCAGCCAGCAATCCTCACCAGCTCCCAACAACTCTATCAAATTTCAAAGCCTCTTCGGGTTGCCTACCCCAACTCACTAAGTAGCTAATGGCATCGCCAGGAGCGTTTTTCTCGTCACACTTTTCCCCAGATGTAACCAGGCGATAGATAGGCGGTGCGATAGGTGCAGCAAAACCCCAAGGAGTCGAGTCGCTGAATCGAGTGGGAAGCCAGTGTGCGCATGCGTGCGTTCTCCATTGGATTGCCTTGCCGCCTGTATTCGATTACTGCAACAACAGCAGCTGTCCGACTGATAAGATTATAACGTAAGCAAGCAAGCAGCCTAAAGAGACGGGCAGAAAGTGTAGCGGCATATTTCCAGTGTCGTGAAAACACTCCAAAAGTGAGAAACTGGAGTTGATTTTGCCTAGAGTTTGGAGTGTGTGAAAAATGCATTGTATTCATTAACGAATCTTGAAATAGATTGATTGGATAAAGATGAGGGACATTTCAGCTCCACTCTAGCTATATTATTCTAGACCGCAATTACACCTCATTTCATGATGCACTCCTAGGTTGTTCCAATTCCTCCCGATTCTATTGGGATTATATTCGCTCTGCTGCCCCTGAACTTGGCACAATGAAACCAAATCGATAAGCTATCGGCACTGAATTATGTTGTCCATCTCAAATTGCTGCCCAAGACCTTGATCGCAATCAGCTTGAGAGCTTGGGAGCTTGAGAGCAGACAGCCTGGGCTTCTGGGACTGCGAAGCAACAAACTTCCTGCTGCCTGTCCCTGTCGGAGAGAAACAAGTTCCAGATAAGAGAGACGGGGAACATGGACTCCTTCTGCTCCTGCCATGTGGAGATGTGAAAATCGTTGTAGATTGCAATCGGCGGCAGGCGGCAGGTGGCAGGAGACTGTGACGGCCTCAAGGGTAGCGCTCTGACGTTTTTATCAGTTTAGACCAACGGCCCAACAACGGACATCGGTCCGTTCGATCCACGGTCCGACGATCACTCCCAGTATAAATATTTGGTCAGGGAGAGGAGTGCTGCAACTTGTAGCAAGATTACTTGTCAACTGATAGGGCCAAATCGAAGAGAATCTAACAGAATTGTTAAATCATTCAGTCGAGACAACTTAGTTGGGAAGGCGAATATGAATGGGACAGCAACAGCGCCCGGGACAGGGACAGGGTCAGACAGGGAGGAGCCGGTCAGTAATGGGGAGCGGGGAGATAGCATTGCATGTCATAAATTACCTAAATTAACATTTATGGCAATCAAATATTTATCGCTCAATGAGGAACAGCCATCAGGCATAGCCAGCATAGACAGCCAAACTTCCTCTGCCCCAAAGCTCGTCTGCTGTTCAGTTAATTGCCAAAAAAAGGGAGGCAAACGGAAAACTCACGACATCGTAAAATTTTAAAAATAAACAGGCGAAAAATTGAAGTAGACAGACTGAAACACCACAAATAAAAGACAACAAATTTGGGGCTCTGGTCTTAGTTTTATTTTCGCCTGCTAGACACCACACGCCACACTCGGCCTATCTCGGCATATTTTTTGGCAAATTATAAAGTTTTCTGGCCCATTTGAAGAAGTACTAGAATCCGCTGTTTTGTGGTCTGTTTTTTGGCTGTTTTGGCCGGCACGTTTTCAGATAACACCCCCCACGATGGTGAATGAACCCGAACCCACATGGCAGACATGTTTCCTTTCCCGTGTATTTTCGTGTATTTTCGTGTATTTTCGTGCATTTTCGTGCATTTTCTTCTCTGTCTTCCTATCTGTTCACTGTTCAGCGTTCGCTCAGAAGTAATCGAAAAGTTTTCTGTCTGCTGCCAGTTTTTATCTCTGAGAATTGGCGCATTAATGCGGCTCAAGAATGAGCAAAGTTTTGTATAACTGGCTCTGCGCTCCGAGTCCGCGTAAAAAGCATACTTTTATCATCAAAATTGAACAAGTACGTCCCCCCACTTTCGGTGGGGCACATTTCGAGTGCTAAGCGGGCGGGCTGCTGCTTACCATTTGGTAAGGAATGTGGTTTTGAATAACTTTGAATCACTCTGTGGCTGCACCGCGAGTATGAATTGATTACTTGTTCTGTTTTTTCTGTTTGCAGTGATACAAATATAATGACTAAGGTAGCTGAACATTAATAAATTGACAAAGGAAAGACTTTAAATGTGGAACTTGTCACAAGCCGACGGCAAACGGACGGCATTACTGGGTGGGTAGGCTTCCTGGTAAATAGCATGAAAACATTTCAAGCGAAGCTTCAATCACGCAATGTATGCAAATGCAACAGACTGTTGTTGCAGCAGCGGCAGCAGAGGCAGCAGAGGCAGAAGCAACGCACGACGCCAGACTGAAGGAAGCGTTCTGTACAAGGCCTCACAGTAAAAATTCACAGGAAAAATCCTAAAAAAGAAAGAAAACTGAAATCACAGCCAAAACAAATAAATAAATTGACCATTAAAATAATTGCTGCGCCTAAAATGCGTCGCGTACGTGGCTTGTATCACGGTTTGCTTGTTGCTTTCGTAGTTGTGGCGGCAGTTGGACTTGCTGCCATTGCTTTTGTTGCTTTTGTTGTTGTTTGCTGCCTGCTGCTGCTGCTGCTGCTGCTGTTGCTGGTGCAGCGAATGTTGCAACAACTTGTCAAACATTTGAATTACAGTTACGAAAGCAATACCGATGCCAAATGACCGGCCTCTCGAGCGCCCGCATGCCCAACTACTCGTATTTTTGAGTTTTTTTCCTCCCAAATTTGGCTAAATTTAATGAAGCAATTAAATGTCTATAGCAAAAGATACACACTCGACAACAAACGACTAACATCAAACATTGAAAATGGCAAGTACTCGTATTTCTGAGCCCGGTCAGATGTCTGCCGACAAAATATAAAAATCCACAATATCCAATGAAAATATCCGATTTTTCCACAGCTCAGGCAAAAGATTCGAAACGGCTAGGAGAAAACAAATGTCAGAACTTGTATTTGGTAAAGCTCCTTCCAATGAGTCCTAAAGAATTCTGGCCATCAGGACCAGGACATCGATTGACCGCAAAGCTGTCTAGAAAAGGAAAAATATTAAAAAAAATCAACCGAATTTCTCGTATTTATCTTTCTCCATTCAAAAAGATCCCATCAAGAAAAGAGCACCAGTAGAAATTGAGAATTGCGTATTGGAGTGTCGCGATACTTGTGCCGCAACTCCAAGCGCCTCGACTGGTTTTAATAAATGATCTTGCCCCATCAAAACAATGGGACATAAGTATATGCTACAGATACAGCTAAAGCCGACCTTGGCAAATAAGTAGGGGGACCTTGCTTATAGTACCTGCATATCTAAGTAAATGTACGGTCGTAGCACTTCTCCTATCTTTCAATGTGATGGAACTATTTCACCAACGGTTTGAGAGTCTCTGCACTTGGAGTTCCTATAATCGCGATTCCCTGAGTTCTCGCTAGACTTTCAATTAGTCACGCGCGCCCCAAGCAACTCAAGCATAAATCTAGACATTGTTGTCGGAACAGACAGCCTGACAGAATGTTTAACTGCCACACTGGCTGAATGACTGAATGACTGAATGACTGCTTGACTGCCCGACTGCCTGAATTCCTGACTGACTGGCAGACAGAGAGACGGTATTCTCGGGCCATATGTAGTTCTTACCGGCCGGTCTTTTGAGGACTGTCAGAGACTGTCGCCTGTTTCCAGCGGGGGAAAATATTTTAAGCTGTCAAATCGCTGACACATGCCTGTCGTTTCTTCTGGCTGCTGCCTGTTGTTGTTGTTGTTGTTGTTGTTGTAAATCACTCGATTAGTCTAATTGTTAAAA